TTGTATATTATTATTTACACAAGCTGGAAAGTTGGCGCTACCAAAGCAATGACCAGACAATAAAGCAATATTAGTAAAAAAAAATTATACAATAAAAGAAGAAGGAAATAATCATATAATTTCTTTATGGTATAATGGAATTTATTGATCGACAACCTCTTTTAAATGTTTTAGTGCTTCGTCTAATGCCATGTATACTTCTTGCGGGTTTGGGACTCTTTCCTCTAAAGAAGCAGATGTGCTTCTCATCTGAGATTTGTTCAAGATACTCTGAAAAAGAAAACATGTTTATAAATATGCAATTAATTAGTTTAATAACATAGTTGTAAATTCCGCAATAACTCAAGAGGAGGAGGAGGACAGATCGTAGTTCTGAAAAAGGTGAAAATTCCGTCTTATATATCGATGGCGCTATTTAATAGTCTGGAATGTTCCTCATTCATTAATCTTTAATATGAAATATAAAAAGTTAATTTCTTTTCCTTGCAATATGATTCAACTATTATCATGAGCTAAAACTATTTTCTAAACTTTGACAAATATGCGTGTCAATAAAGGGCATTGTGTGTTATAAATCTATTTACAAATTAATGCTTCCTAATATAGGTAGATGGCGCTAATCTTAAACAAAATAAAGGATTATACACACACATCAGGGCTGTACCCGGGACGTGGACGGGCCGTGCTAGTTTGTGTGAACTGCGGGCCCGTCCCGGCGCCGGCCCGTACTTGGACAAGTGTAAACGAGTTCATACAAAATATACGCAACGATTTTTTTTGAGCCCCTAACGGAGCACGGCCCGTCCACGTCACAGGCACGGCCCGGATATTTAATAATAATAATAATAATAATAATAACGCACACACTCAACATAGTCTCGCACTAGGGTCTATGTGTGTGTCGTGGATGTCATGGATACATACATAAACAGCCACAAACTACACCCAAACTCACGATAGAAATAAATATAGGCCATACAAATATTTCTCCCGGCCCGGGAGTCGAACCTGGGACCTCTGCGTCGGAGTCCGGCATGGTAACCATTCGGCCACAGAGGCAGTTAAAATGTGTGGATAGACTTTAAAAATAGCCTGCACTCTCCATAAATATCTGTTCAGTAAGCGCCATCTAGTTGATTTGTTTGATATCACTAGAAATTAGAGTAGTTTTGATAAATTGCAGTTGGGCAATAAATAAAAATTATTTACAAAAATAGATGATTGGTACTCGTGGCGACATCTGGTGTACCAAAAGGTACTAAATACTTGACTATGTGGTCTTGTGTCGCAATCCTTTTAGTAAGTCAATGCTTTTAGTTATTGGTCCATAGAATTACCAACGATCAGTATTAATAACTCTAAGACAACAGAGTTTAAAAAATATCTCATTAACTTACTTGTGTCAAAGGGCAGAAAACATCAGGGTTCATATAATCGGTCCTGGATTTCCCTGTGAGGTAACTCATGGGGATTCCAATGAGCAAGACTGAGATAGCACCAGCAAAAGGGCAGTAAGTGAAAGAAATACGAAACAGAGACTGAAGTGGTTTTGTAGTTATTGGAATTTGCGGCCTGAAAAAGCGTCAGAATTTGTTTTTTAATTCTGTAAATAATAAATCTTGGTGTAAGGCATTGGTAGCAGTAGAGATCCTTGTTCACAAAAAAAAATATTTACCATATACAATGTGAGCATTATTGCGTACCAGTTTGAAGGATAAGGCTGCTAGTGAAATTACAGGCATATGGGACTTGTCAACTTATGTCTCTGGGTAGCACTGTTCTTCCCGTCACATAGGTAGTATCATAAAAAAAATTAAAAATGGTAGTAAAAATGATTGCGCTGCACGACAAAGAACAAACTATACCCACTTGAGATTTTGAAAGCGACTATATACGTAGATTTTAGATTTTAAATTTCAAATTCAAATTCAAAATTTCAAATTCAAAATTTTTATTTCGGACATAGTCCATATCATGTTAGTAACAAACAGCTTATAGCCTATGTTAGTAAGACAAATTATTAAAACTGTATCAAAATTCCAAATTGAGAAATTAATTAAAAAGAATATATGAGTGAAAATTAAATATTAAATTAAATCTAAAATTGAATAATAAAATTACATAAAATTTACATGTTATCACATTAAATCATACACCAAGCCCCTGGAACCCATGTGAAGCGAGTCCCAGTGTTTCCATAAAGCGCAAGCAGGGTCCTCCCAAATTAGGCGAATAAGGCTGTTGGAACTAACACGCACTCGACGCATCAGGGAGGCAGTTTTAAAGCTTTCGTGATTATTCACTAAATGAATATCACTATGAGTTCTTTTTATTTTTCCAATATCTCGGAACGATTACACGATTGCACGATGGTCAATCCGTGACCATGGAGCGTGTAGCGTGTGTAGTCATAATCATTACAATATTTTTATTGAATATCATTATATTCATTTATTTCTTGTTTCTCAGTACTACAGAGAACCTGCAAAATATTGGTTTTCCACTGAAGCTCTGTTAGTTATTTGAATTCACATATCTCAAAATTTGCAGATTGTCCAGTGGTTTAACGACACTCCGCGCCATCCCCCGTCACTCGCCATCAGGCGCTTGTCGATTTCGGATCTGCGTTAAATTTTCTCCGCGTGTTCTTATTTTATTCATATTAAATTTGTGCGCGCAGCTTGCGCGACTCGAAGGGAGACCCCCACACCTCACCTCCTAAAATCTGGGCTCGCATTGTATTATCTGGCCTAATGTATACAAAGGAACAACCAAATTAAATCTTCGACATAAACGAAGATCGAATTTGCAATTTCATCCTCAACCATATTCAACCATACACACTAATCTCAAGCTCAGTGATAAAAACTCAAAGAAGAAAAGTCATAAAACTGCAAGAATCGAGCAATAGTAATATGGGAAAAGTTTTAATAAGGGGAAAATAAAAGTCGAGTCGATATCAGTCGGAGAAGATTAAAACTTTGACCGAGATCTCTAACCGAGTGTGAAGACATTGTGGTTGTATTATATATATTATGATAGTAATTTCAAAGATAATTCTGTTGAATATAGACTTATTGCATACATGTAGGTAGTCTAACATTGTTGTTTTTGTTGTTTGTTGACAAAAACTATCCTTGGAGCTTCTCTGATGAAGGCATACATCAGAGAACTAAAGTAGCATAGTTCGTTAAATCAATAAGCTGAAATGGCAGTGAACCGGTCTTATTTGCAGGAGGGCTGATGGTTGACAAGGCAGATGGAATATTCGGGACAGGAGACTACTTCAAAGCAAACGTAGTATACGCCCTGCAGCAAGATGGTAGGACGATCTGAGAAAGGCAGCTGCCAGTAGCAGCACAAGACTTTTGTGGTATTATAGCACGCTCAGTTTTATACTGAGAAATTTTTCGTTGGAATTAATTTATATGATAAGAAGAAAGGCTCAAAATCCAAATGACATATAAGTCAGAGTGACTTATTGACTGTGGCAAAATATTTAGGTAAGTCGCGAATATGATGAAGACTACTATAGAATAATTTTTGTTGATTGATATACTACTGATGAAGTTTCAAGCCGAACCTAACGGTATGAATATACTTGATAAAAAAAAACGCTTTCCAGTAAGAATCGTTAATCTTGCATATCCATTAAAGCAATACCAAAATTACTCTCAAACGTTTGATTACGAGTGCAGTCAAGTTCATTCTTGCTTATAACCCGAGAATGCACTGAGTTTCAAATACCAGGGCACGTGTCAAAAGCAAATGATGGAACTTTAATCAAGCCTTAACGCAGGAACTCCTAATCTAGTGGAAACTTCTACAGAGTTGAGCGCAAGAACTGCAGCACTAAATAGGTTAGGTCAAACTTCGTATGAACTATGACTTTAACTCAAACACTTTGATGACGAAAACGTTGAACAAGTATTTAATGAATTGTGATACAGTAAGATATCGACACCAGGGCAAAGAGAGAAGCCACCTTAACCTTTTAATTTTGAGTTCCTTATTAGTTATTACCTATATACAAATTCTAAAATCTATTAACTTAACTTAGAACATTACTATTACCTTAACCAATCCGAAATTTGAATAGTTCTTACTTTTTTAAAATAGTTTGAACTTTCTAAAAAGAAAATAAAATCGAAAATCTGTCACACGGCCAACTCTATCTCGACATACTGACGGGTGCGAGGATCGAACGCGCTGCCTTTCGTATAATTTCTAGGTTTTAACAAAAATTTGAACGATTTGTTTGTTTTGTTTTTTAACACTGTTTAGCATGTTTTGTTTTTTAGCAATTATATGCTAATCATCGCACTAAATTTGGAAATTATTTTTGGTTTTTTTCGTATTTATTTACTCTGATTTTTTTTCGAAAAATCCGGACAAAACGCCAAAAATAAAGACACATAGTAACCCTATGTGCGGCCCACTTCGGTATGATCTTATTAAACGAACTGGCTAGGTTATGAATGAATGAATGAAATATTCTTTATTGCACATAAAATTACAATTAAAATACAATACAATAGCTTAAGTATAATAGTAGTAGTAAGTCAATTTGCAACAGGCGGCCTTATTGCTATGTAGCAATTTCTTCCAGGCAACCTTAGGATAGACAATTCGGATATGCAAAAGGGGTGCAACCAAAGAATATCATCATAAGTACACTACATAATAAGTAATAATAAAAATATATACATATCCATAGATAGATATACATATACATACAAATAACAATAATATTAAATGATTATCACTAGTATCAGGTTTCTTACCACGGTATGACTTCTTTTTATTTTCCCGATATTTCGGAACGGTTGCACGCTCCATGGTCACGGGTTGACTCACTCAGTCATACCGTGGTAAGAAACCTGATACTAGTGATAATCATTTAGTGAATAACCACGAAAGTCTTAAAATCTATATAACAATAATATTATTAATACATACATAACAATAAATACACAATAATATTAAATGCTTATATCCTTTTAAAGGAAAAAGAAAAATCAAGTATAAATGTAGGAAATAAATGAAAGGATAGTAGAGGACAGACGAAATTTAGGAGTTGAGGAAGTGATCCTTGACACGATGTTTAAAGGAATCAAGAGAAGGGGATCGTCGAATCGATTCAGGGAGAGAATTCCACAATCAGATCGCAGAAATGGTAAAAGAGTTGGTATAAAAGTTAGAGGTATGAGAGGGCAAGTTAAGTAAGAGAGTATCAGAGGAGCGAAGGGGACGACAGAGTGTAGAAGAGTGGAAAGTAAAGCGATCTTTAAGATAAGAAGGCGTAAAGGGATAGGACAGAATTGAATAGAGAAGTGAAAGGATATGAATATCTCTACGCCGATGAATGGGCAGTCATTTAATTTGTGTGCGAAATTGGGAGACATGGTCAATTTTACGTAGTCCGAAGATGAACCTAACACACATATTTTGGAGCCGTTCCAATTTATTGAGCAGAGTTACTGACAAATCTGGGTAGCAAACATCTGCATAGTCCAGTATCGGGTGGAGAAGCTCTGGGCCAGAGTAATTTTGGTTTTAGTCGGCAAAAAGTTTTTAAGCCTTCTCAGAGAGAAGTGCGCACCAAACACCTTCCTGCTAACCTCAGCAACGTGCGGCTTCCAAGTCAGACATTTATTAAAAATTACCCCCAAATTCCTGACTATCTTTGTTATTTATCCAAATAAGAAATACAAACACCATCGAAAACCACAGGGGGTAAGGAGTCTAGACTTAGGTTTTCTACGGTCACACATTGTATAACATGTTTTTTTTATACCTTTAACAAAGCAAAGGTTATCTATCGGTGGTTGTTGACTGTTAGAAGACCTTTACAAAAGAATGCTATTGATATTATAAAAATTTCCTATCAAAGAGATGGGTAATATAAAGTTTTATTTAGAGTATCCATGTGTATAATAATTTACATTTTTGTCGTGTACCTATACCTACCTTATTTTGACATTTTGCTGTTGGCGGGGCTTGAGTGATATAACCACTTAGTAATATTTAATAGTCATACACCAGATTCATAAAAGTTGTATTGCATTTCCATCTTAATACGCCAAGAACATATCACCATCACACTTTGGACTTTGGATCTTATCGCTAGAGGCGTAGAGTTGGATCTAAATCTTTAAATGTTAATCTTGACGTGCACTTGACCCCGTACCTAACTAAATTAAAATTATCTCGCCAAACGGAAATATTCTAAGCATTTTCCTTAAATCACCACTTAAACTAATAAATGAAAAATGGTTTTAAGCGCCCTAAGTAAAATTAATATTTCTTAAAATGTGAAGTACAATTTGTGTCGAAGCTACAAAGTCGTTCGAGTTTACTGAAACCGATAAATATATTTTGAGAATATCTTTTACTTTTAAACCATCATCATATTAAATATTAACGTTATTTTTAAACAGTCAAGGTAATCCTAAAATGTTGTGATAACGACATAATTACATGTTTAAAAAAACTGAGCTGAATAACTTTGGAGAAAAACTGTGAGGGTAAGCTTTCAGTTGAAATAGCAAATACATTAGAATGAAATAATGCAACAATGTAATCGTCAGCTTCCGTAAATTTCAAATAGCTCCGAAACAAGGGCTTTACTACTTGCAAGACTTTGTAATGCAGCTAGATAATTGGTATATTATACTTAACATAAATGAGAACTCACGTAACAGTCGCCAAAATTGGTACAACATTTTGCAAAAGCGTAAAGTTGGCCTTCCCACAGCCTGACGTGGTCAGCGGCTTTCCCTGAAAGGTCAGTGCTCCCGTGGCGAGCGCATTTTCCGCCCCTATGAGGAGCCAGCCACAGAGAAGCAAACTTAACAAACAGCCACTCAATGCACCCTGAAAATTCAGCTTTATGAAATAACCCACGTTATGGCTTAATTAGTTTTCAACTTTAGTATGTAGTTACGTATTCGATAAAACTATGCGTAATAGTAAATAAATGGATTGGTACAAATTCGAGTCATAAAAGATCATTGAATACCGCCAGCAATATAGGATGCTGATAAGCGATAATGTGTCAATCAACATGATCATCGTGTTGCGAAAATGGCACATAAAGATTTTTTCGTTGTTTTTGATAGTTTGTTTTAAAATTTACATATAAAATGAAACCTTTTGCTGTTGTGCTTGTTGTTATTGGGGAATTATAGTAATAAATCACAACAAATATTATTGTAGAGTTATTGTCAGCATTTGTATAATAAAATGAAAAATACTTGAACCCCATAACTCGATTGTATAACACCGTTTGTAAATAAAATTCATGAGCGATCTGACATCTATTGAAAATAATTAAAATGTTTACGTCAACATAACGACGCGTTTTATAACTAGTCTCATTCTAAACTAAGAGATGGCAGTGTTGAAGCGAAGTCAACTAAAGAGTTCAATGCAACTGCTCGTAGGTGGCGCTAAGGACACTACAAGTATAAACTCTTAACTCTTAAGGCTAGGTAGCTTACCAATTAGTTCCTACGTAATTTCACAGATGGCGCTATATGGGATTTAATAAACTCGTAGTAGGAGTTGTTTTGAAAATAATGCTTATACAGCGCTGCACAAAAATGTAAATAATATTTACCGAGCAGTTAGCTCTAGAAAATATAATGCCCAAAGTGAAGAGGCCCAGCAAAGTTCCGGCAGTCACACCTGTGACACCCGAAGCCACGTGTTGCAGGCGGTCCAGCTCCCTAGCGAACCATACAACGATTGCGCAGTATGCCCCTACTAGTATACAGAGAAGCTGTAACAAAATAAAAGTTTTGTAAACATGCTCGAAAATGTTCGCTTTTTCGGTAGTAAAATTTTTCGTCCTTCGGGACAGGCTAAGGCAATTAGACCACTATACTGATTAGATTTTAGATTTAAATTTTTCTTCAATCCCTTAATTTTCTGACATTTCGTCGTAAGAAACTCGTTAGCTTTTTCAGCCCAATGCGTGTTTTGTTTTTTTTTTTACAAAGGTTACAAAAATATTACTACACAATGCATACGCTTTCGCGCTTTTTAGTAACTTATTTTTGGAAATGGGGATACTGACTCGTATAATACGATACTCATCCGGTAATTCCATACTTCCCGGCCTCTGTAATAATACATACTTATACCTACTAATACCTATTTATACTCTTCTAAGTCTGAATAAGCTGCACCGAAGGGCTTAAAGATAAATTTAGTAAGTACATATGGAGCACTACAAGTTTCCGGAACTGGCCACTTGTATAAATAATATTTAAAAAGTAATTACAACATTTGAAAATGGAACTCTTAGGCTTTAGAATACAGTTTGTTTCATCTGACTGCCACTTGTTTTTACATTGTGGCGTCATTTTAGAAATTAGTTGTCTACATCACCTTGGCTTTAACTGATGAAAATTATCGTAGTATAATTTTCTACGACTTTAAGTGTAATTTAACAGCTCAGCGGAGCTTCACTCTGCTTCAAATTGCTTTTGGCGATGAAGCACCATACAAGACGACTATTTATAGCTGGTTTGCAGAATTCAAACGCGGTCGTGTGAATCTCAGTGACGAATTTCGTGATGGTCGCCCGTCCATTGCTGTGAGCAACAAAAACATCGATGTTGTGCGCCTTATGATCAAAACAGACAGGCACGTGATATACCGTGAGATTCGGGCATCTGTAGGCATAGGCATGAGTCAAATACAATCGATACTACACCAAGATTTGGGTGTGAAGAAGCTGTGCTTTCGGTGGATCCCAAACAATTTAATTGAGGCTTCGCTAACGGATCGCGTCACTTAGTGCAATGCCATGCTTACCAGATTCAACGAAGGGGCGTCAAATTTTTATGTGGGACATAGTAACAGGTGACGAAACATGGAATTATAGTTACGATCCCAAAATAAAGCAGCAATCAAGCGTATTGCTTCTTTTTTTAATAAAACTGGACAAGTTGCTATTGTTGCTTTGGAGAATCGTTGTACCGTGAATTGGTACACGACCATTTGTTTGCCGGAATCTATTGACAAACTCCGTAAAAATGACTGTAAACGCCGTATCATCTTGCACCACGATAATGCCAGTTCCACGATGAGGCCCGACCTTTTTTTTTCTTTTTTCAGGCCCAACCTGGCCTGACCTTGTGATCTGACTTTTATTTAATTCCAAAAATTAAGAACCAGTTACGCGATCAACGATTTTCATCACCTGAAGAGGCTGTCGAAGAGTATGAAAAATATGTTTCAGAGATTATTACGGAGGAGTGGCATAAATGTTTTCAAAATTGGTTCATTCGTATGAAAAGTGTATTAACGCTAACGGAGAATATTTTGAGAGGCAATGAAATTATTTCTGACCATTTATATTATTTTTTTCTTATTCATTCTGAAAACTTATAGTGCACCCCACGTATTACAAACAAGTTGTAGGTGCATTATGTTAGCATCTGAAAAATGAGGACGCCTGCTAAAGTTATTAGTGTCCTATTAAAAAAGTAAGGAAGTACTTAGTAATTGGCACATACCTAAATTGTTCTTTGTAAGTACTTCCACTAACCTTTATAATCTTACAGCATGCTAGTTCACTAGTATTTCGCGGCATCCATGGACGGATAAATTCTTCAAATAATACACCAGATACTGAGTTCACCAATGATGCGATGCATCTATAACAATTGTACGTCAATACAGTAGATTTCCATTTCTTTGATGTAAACTAAACTTTCAAAACACCATGAAATTATTTAGATTTCATTTGATTCACCGGAAGGCAGAAGGTATACTTTCGCAGGCGCCAAGACATGCATATTATAAGTAATTCTAAGAGATTATAACTATAAATAACACCGACACAGAAATTACCAACACATTGTTATCGTACCTATAGAGGCGTAAACAACAACTTTACAACTTTACAACTTTACAACGTTGTACAACTTTAATGTTCTAAGACGTTATGTTAATTAGAAAAGGAAACATACCCAGTAGTAGCCGTGAAAATAGAAATTATAAAAATGCCACAGATGCCAGGAAACATAGCGGCCAGGTTGTTCAGGAAATGAGGCACCAACTGAAAAAATTGGGACTATTTTGGGATATAAAGCTCTAAGTGGCACTGCAACTGCTATGAACAGGCACATAACAAGGCACACGACTTGTTTGTGTTTCATTTCAATTGTACAGGGTCAAGAGCACGACAAGCTTGACACTAAAGTTTTAAATTTAACTCTCTGCCGCTTGCAATAAGAACGGTCCAAAGTCCAAAGAGTCAAGCTTGATGTGCTCTTGACTGTACGATACGACTCATCCGAAGAACAGATCTATGTATAGGTGTTTTCAGAATATTTACATCTTATTTCGTTTCGGAAATGTAAAATCGAACAACGATCTATCTGATATCCACAGCTAAAAACAAAGAGGGGAAATGTACAAAGTCTTGAGGATAACCTGTCTTGGAGTCGATTTTATTTTATGATATCAAGTGATAGAACAAGTGGTGCACCTCGTGGTAAGCGATACACCTGTCCATAGCAGTTGCAATGCGACTCAGAGGTTCAAATCGCAAACATCTGCGGGGTACTGCCAGGACATCCGTCATCCTGTGACATAAGTTGAAAATATCCATATGCCTGTAATTTTACCATCTCCTTGCTGACATTATTACTGTTTGGCAGCTGAAATAGATAAGGTGGCAGTACTTCCCTGGACGAACCATTTCACAAGGAGCTATATTGCTACTAAATACCTAATACATAGTACCCACAGTTCGCTTTATTACTTTCGACCTTAGATTTAGAAGCAAAGTCATTCACAAAGCTGCCAGATTTTGGCTTTCATTGTGGACTAGTGAAAGCGACTTCACCTTCGTAATCACTAGCCTTTGTGATCAAGAAGAATAGGCTAGAAATAACCAAAAAAGAACCATAGAAAGGTGCTCATACAAACTGTAGATATTTATCATACCTGTTCGTGTTTCCTAATATGCCCTGCTCTCCATGGATCGCATCCAACTAACCAAGCATACAAAACCAATCCAAGGAAACAAGACAGCAGCTTCATCAAAATCACACCAAGACAAGATAAAGCTAAACATAATCTTGCTTTACTAATCGTTGGTACTGCAAGAAGTTTCTGGAGAGAAGATTGACTTAGTGCTATTTTCCATAGCCAATGTGTGCTTAGAGCTAGCGTGACTGCAAAAAATGATGTATGGTGTGCTAATTCCGGATCTGGGCTGAAATGTATAAGAGTAAACAATAAATATTATTAAATGCGATTGCATTCAAAGTTGTATAATTAATCCTCCTAGTTTGTTTTTTATGATAAAATAAGTACTCATTTGACCTTCATCTCATAAAAGTGACGATGTAGTCGACGAAGGCTAAATAATGCCTATTCACTCTCGCCTTAACCCATTGACTGCCGAAGGTAATCTACAAGCCGAAATCGGTGGCCACCATACAAATGGTCTTCTACGCAACAATACGTAGCCGGCATCGCAGATAAAATTCTTACTGCGGGTGCCAATATACGCAATATTGCGTATACGTAATGATGCGAACTTCGGCACCTCGGATCAAAAACAATGCTCATTACCTATCCTGCTCACTCCTGTAATAATTAAATACGCCCCCCGCGTGAAAGGGGATTCACCAAATATTAAATACTGTT